TTGATTGATAATGTTTTATAAAAATTGTGTCAGTATGACTTGCATGATCGTTGCATAGAGAGTTGTGTTGTATCTGGTAAGAGTTGTATGACTTGTTTGATCGTTTCAAAGAGAGTTATGTTGTATCTGGTAGGAGTTGCATGACTTGTATGATCGTTTTAAAGAGGGTTGTATTTGGTATGGTTTTATAAAAGGTGTGTGGTCCTTTCGAAGCAAGTTTTCTTGTAACTGATTTGATTTAAGAAGAATTGAGTTCTTGTAACTGGTATGATTTGATAAGAGCTGTGTTAGTATGACTTGTATGATCGTTTCAAAGATAGTTGTTTTGTTACAGGTATGGTTTTCATAGTTTTTTAATAAAAGTTGTGTTAGTATGATTTGTATTGTCGTTTAAAAGATAGTTCCTAGTTTCAGTGATGTTTTTAGTACTAACTCGCATATTTTGATGACGTTCTATATTGAAACTAAAGTTAATTCCCAATTATTTTTCTTCTCTTTAGAGAGAATTTTTGTGTTCTGTGTCATTTGCCAAAATACATGTGTTAACTAATTGGTGTTAATTGAAAGATAGAGTTTGTTATTTTAGTTTGAAAACAAACAAACTGAGAAAAAAAAACACAAATGTTACTCGAATTTTTTGGAAGTGTACTCACCTCGAAAATATGTATAGAAAAAAGTTCCAAAAAATTCCAGAAATATGTTACTACCTTTACTACAATCTATTAGACATAAAATGTCATTCTTCATTTTCTTATTATTTTTTTTTTCGGGTAGTAGAAAATATGTAGAAATATAATTAATAGATATGTGTGCCATATTAGTATGCTATATATTTTTATCAGAAGGGATAGTGACTTGAAATGGGTTGGGGGTTGGGGGTCCTAAGACTATCCAAGCGCCGAGCCAGCGGCACCATCCAACACGGGGGGGGTGTCTGAGGAGGGATGTTCCCCGTCAGCAGCTGAAATTTTGAAATTTTAAGACTGAATTCGCGCGATTTGGTGTGTACCTTTTTGGTAAATTACTTGTTATTTTCAGTGAATATTGCTTTTGTTTTGCATTTAGGCCAAATCATGCACCACTTCATAGACTAGAGTCGCTAGATGATTAAATTAGACTTAATACTACTTGTATCAATATTGTATCCTATCCTAAACATGAAAATGGTAACTAACTAATAATAAACTGTGATATATTTATTATTTATACAGCAAAATGAAAAACACAAAATAAGTTCCAACTTCATATCTGTATCGTGGGTTTACGGAACGTTTGTACATTTCTAGTTCTCTCGAACACTACTTACAAGACTCAAATCTACTACCCCTCAAATTGACGAACCCGTCCATTTACCTTTAAATTTATATAGCAAACTTACAATTCCATTATAATCATACATTTACAATCATAGCTATTGATAACAAACCCAAATGTAGACATTCATGGGTCGCTTTTTGAACGAAAATTTATTTAGATTATTAAAATTTATTTCAAATGTTAAGTAATTAGGTAAAATACTAATTCTTTAACTGTGTATAAAAACAAACCATCTGAAAAGAAGTTATTGCTCTTTCTGTCAAAATAACTACAACTCAATATAAAACAGAACGGTGAGAATTGCCAAACTAATCAGACTTTTTAATGGAG